CATATATATAATATTACTATTATTATTATTATTATTATTAAATATATACTTATATTATACATATATATTGTTGTCACTGATCCTTTTATAGCGCCATTGTTGATTTATTCTTTTAATAGCTTCGTTGTATACATTATTCTATTAATGGTTCATAATATATCATTGAGGGGCCCAATTAGTTAAAAGCGTCACTGTGGTTACCTAGCCTGGTTTAGTTTCTTACCTCATTGACCAGGGTGTGGGAGGAGCCATAGAAGTGGTACCGCTGACACTTGACCCCGCCCACTTGACACTTTTTAAAGGTTGTACTGTTAGGGCCCGTGTCCCAATCACTAGTGTTGACCTCTGACCCTGACACGATGCACTGCCAATCGGGGGTCATTCCTGGGGTCATCAACGCCGGGTATAGAGGTGGAAGGTAATGGTGATTGGAATAGGGTGGGTGAGCGTGGTAGGACAAGGATTGGGGAGGGGATAAGTGGGACAAGGATTTGGGGCAATATGTAGGGCAAGGAGGGAGAGAGGGGGGTAAGTGGGGAAGGAATGAAAGAAAAAAGGGCGAGGGAGGGATGAAGGGGTACATGGGGAAAGAAAGACAGATGGGGGAGGAGGGGTGGCAAGGATGAAGGGGTACGTGGGGCTAACATTAATTTTACTTTTGTCTCTAATTACATTTCGTCAATGTATTTCACTATCCGCGTCTGGAGCATTCCGATCTTTTTGGTAAATTGTTTATTAGTTTAATACGCGTTTTAGTCTCTTGAGTTTTGTATTCTATATTTAAGTTGTCACGAATTATTGATGCAAATTAAAATGTGCGTAGGTCAAATGCCTTATGACTGGAGTTTTCACATTCAAATGTTGTTCTATACGCGGACAGTGTAATGCAATGACGTAATGGGGAAATAATTAATTGATGAAAACTTCCTTTAGAACGAACGCCAATTGGTCAAATGAACGAATAGATCAGAGCCGGTCCATTACGGCCTGTAGAGTTCTGCATGCTAATAACAGAAGTGACACAAAATGTCACATGGCATAATATACTAGCCTAGTCGCTACCTCAGAATTACAGTTCTGTCTGCTTAGTACCTAGTTTTGAGAAATATGACGTCAAAATTTTTGTTTCATAATAATAATAATAATAATAATAA